TCCCTACACTCTCAAACTACTATATAATTAATAAAATAAGCTGAAAACACTCTAACACTAACTTTTCTATAGCATTAAGCCTCAAATTTTATAATGTTATATTAAAACTAGAATTAAAACAGTGGAAAAACCCTTAAGATAACATGTAGAAAGAAAAAAAAAAGCATCTTAAGCACACAGAATAACATAAGAGGACTTTGAACGATTAATTTCCGCTTTGAACGATTACGTAATTGCGGCATCCATAATTGTAATTGCGATTAGAAATTCGATTAATTGTGCAGCCCTACATGCAAGCTTACCACGAGATTCAGTTTCAGTTTAGGTTTAAAGCTGCAGCCCGTAAGTTTTGCCTCTTTGTCGCCATCTCTGTTTGAAACCTGCAATTGCAGTTATGAGCGGAATTATCTTCTTTACGTGGGTTGTGCACCGGCACAGCTCCTCAACGCAGTTTAATCTAATGATCACCGCACTGGTGTGGATACTGTACTTCGGAATTACAGATTCTACGTCTTTGAAGACCCAAATAACAAATTTCACCGGATATTGTCAAATTAGTTTCCACTACAAAAGTGGCACAGAAGAACACAAAAGTGGCATGTAGGTAAATTTTCAGACATTTACAGAGGCTCATAGATGGCATGGATGTTTTAAATTCATAATGTTGTGAGATTAATGTTTTAAATACAACATTTTGAATACAGAAATATTGTTTGATTGAAATGATTGAAATAACTGAAATGATGCTTTAAAAATAAAAGTAAAACTACCGGCAGGTGGTGGCAAGTCACTGATTTTAATCACTGAATCATTGATTCAATTGATTCGTTTGAATGTCTGATTCATTCAGGAATGAAGCAAGTGAATGTCTTTATGAATGGATAATTGAACCACTGACACTAGATTTGTTTAAAATTGCACGTTCATTCATAAATGAAACGCCACTGTGTTTGCTCGGCTGTGACTTTGTTTGAAACTATTTTTGTTGAAGAAATAGAGCATAATCAGACAATATTGTTAAAGTCATTCAATGTAAGTTACTCAATATTAACTTGTTTATTGAACTGTTGTATTAATTCAATATCACATTTGCATTCCCTTAATTTTTAATAATCTTTAAAAGCTGTCACTCACTTCAAGTTCATCGCGATCTCGCAAAGTTCCATTATAATCAATTAAGCTCTCTACACTGCTCAACGAATCTCTTATTTACACCCTGTCTACAGTTTGTTTGTTATAACAAGAGGATTCGTGCGCTTGCAGAACTCAACACTGAACAAAACTAGTATTTTGAGCAGTGAGTGGATTCTGATTAACAGTGCATTCAAGGAATCAACAGATATGTCTGCGATGCATTACTAGGGCTGCTCGATTATGGCAAAAATCATAATCGCGATTATTTTGGCCAATATTGTAATCATGATTATTTAACACGATTATGAGGGGGCCATATGACCAAAACTTTATATGAGTGATTTATTTAAAGATAGTGATACATATCAAATATATATTTCCTGTAAATAAGGTTGCTATGATATCTACATTGTAGAGACCAGCGGAATTTCAAACAAACAAACAAAAAGTCCTAAAAATTCTTGAAAATAATTAAACTGTCAGTAATAAAAAAGCAAAGGGCAAATACAATAGAATAAAAAGATACAAATGAAACAAACTGTGTTTTAATGTTTTTTTTATGCAAGTCTCAAGCAGTTTACAGCCTACTACAGAAATTAATAATCAAATGTAAAATAAAACAGCATAGTCTTCACTGTAAGAATTAAACTTTCTTTGTTTCCTATTAAAGCTACAAAAGTCCCTCACTCAAGAGCAGTGTGTGATTTTGAATTTGTCTTTTGTTGTTTGATTAATATTAAGAACAAAGTCGCAGCAGGAAAACAGCCCGCTGTCACTTTAAGAGCTGCAAGGATCCAATTTACTGTTACACGCGTATTTTCATTCTCAACTCTTTACGTTCATTTATTACATGACCGACGCGCCGCATTTTGACACATTTTTGCGTGTATTTGACCGTTTAGGCGCGCACCTTGAGCTAAAAGATGACTTCACAGTCCGTGTTCTGTTCCGTCTCTAAGCGCATATATCTTCCTGAGGAGCAGTGCAAGTTCTCTTTCATGCTTTCAAAAACATGAATAAATATACTTATATAAATCAAGCACGTCCCATTTTGCAAAAGTCACGTTACATGATTTTACTGATTTGCACGTGAAATTGGGCTTTTATGGAGGAACGAAAGCGCAGCGCTGGAAAAGGGGGCAGAATGGGGCGCAATAATCATTTTATCTCGATTATTGTATTTTCATAATCGTTAGAGGCAGAGTTGGAGGCCAAAATCGAAATTGTTTTTCGATTAATTGCACAACCCTAACGCAACGCTGCAAAAACACGCAAGTAGAAATCTTTGAAGCTCACCTGGGCGAAAACACAAATATGCTAATCGGGTCAGCCGCACTGGTGCTCCTAAATATTTTTTTTCCATAGCCGCATGTAGTAGTTTTCAGTCACAAATACGACTGAAATGGCCGAACTATTGAGCCCCGATTGTCATCTGAACAAGTAACAAGTCTACTACATTTGTTCTAACCAACTGAGGAAAAAAGCATTACAATAAATCCCACTACCAATTAGGGCTGGGTATCGAGTTCGATACTTTTTAGGCACCGACCGAATTGCCTCTAATGTGTGTTTTAGCCGTGTAATGTTGCTGAAATGTTATTTTCTCTGACTCAGAACAGCGAGAGAAGGCAGACAGCGTCTGCTAATGCTCATCAGTAAATCAGTGGAAAATGAATAGAAATGATGATTCTGTCTGAGCTTCAGCTTTTCTTCAGCTCATTTGCATTTAAAGTGATACACTCCAAAACAGCTCTTTTTTAGACACACCCCAAAAATGACATTTTCCAGCTGTTATAATAAATTATCTGTGGGGTATTTTGAGCTGAAACGTCACAGACACATTCTGGGGACACCCAAGACCAATATTAAATCTTGTAAAAAGGGGCATAATAGGTGCCCTTTAACATTTCATTTTATTTTCAGTATATACATTATTTCTGAATGTAATAAAATGCGACTCACATGCTGATGTTGTGTGTGTTTTTTCCTGACCTGGTGCTACTTATTTTCTGGAAAATATGGTTAAATATACCCATATACCCATACAATGGGGATCACTCCAAAAAGTTTGAAAACCCCTGATATATAGTACCCTATTTGTGGAAAATGCCAGAAAACACAATCAAACGGGAAAGGGGAAAAAAAAAAATTTTTCACTCATGCTACTCTCAGATCAGCATCACAGCCTAAAATTAATCACACACTTCACCCTACAAACACAAATGACTCATCTGAACACTTATTCTGACGGCTGCTTTGGTTGTGACAGCACTTTTGGCCTGATATTTGCTCAGCTGACAGTTGATCAAATTCTACGCAGTTGTCCAACCATACCCAAAATCAGCACAGCTCTAGGATGTGTGACACGGTAACACTGGAATGAAAGTGATGAAAGAAAAAGTCCCACAAACCCCAGTCCACGGCTCGGCTGCCCACGAGCCACTTCTCAGAAGAGAAGCCACATCACACAGCCTGACTGCCATGACGGCTGGAGAGGATGTCTGCAAACAAGAGCACATTAGAGTCAGTCACTTACACACGCACACTGCTCCACCATCAGCTCCCTACTTAGGGAAACACTGCGACTCACACACACTCATGACTAATGGTGAGGCAGGCAGCTCACTCAATCCTCTACATACCTGCAATGTTTTAGCACAAAAATGTTTAGTAATAATAAAGAGGTCATTGGATGCCCATTTTCCACCAGTTGATATGATTCTTTAGGGTCTTAATGAAAAGTCTATAACATACTTTGGTTAAAATTTCTCAATGGTAGTGTAAAACAACACCCTTTTTACCTTGCCAAAAACAGCTCTGCACACAGCAACCCATTTCAGTGCATGTCTCTTTAAATGATAATGAGCTCTGCTGACCCCACCCCTCTCTTTCGTGGGGTGACGAGCTGTTCTCTGAGAGACTGTACATTTTAGCTGCATTTAGCTGCATAACTTGCTAACCAGCACATTATTAGGAAAGATTCATAAAAACCCCTTATACTGACTTCTTCTGTAGGTGAAGCTGGATCACGAATGATTTGCGCGAACATAGACGCATTTAGGCAGATCGGGGCGCATTCCCTTCAAAAACAAAGGTAATCCACTGCTTCTTCAGCGGCTCAGATGTCGGGAGTAAATGACGACTGCTATGTTCATTATTACATCCAACAACAGAACACCTCAATCGCTTAGGAGTCATTCTTGTCTACATCTGATCCGGCGGTGAAACAATGGCAGCCTGATGACAGCTCACTCAAGGCGGGTCTAAGGTAAAAAGCTAGTGTCAATCAACAATCGTGGGAGGGGCCTGGGTCTGTGTGACGTCACGGCCAAGAATCTGAGAACGGCTTGATTTGAGAAAGCGGATATTATTTATTGGGATTAAAGAGGTCATGTGATGCGATTTCAAGTTTTCCTTTCTCTTTGGAGTGTTACAAGCTGTTCGTGAATAGATAAGATCCCTAAAGTTGCAAAGACTAAAGTCTCAAACCCAAAGAGATATTCTTTATAAAAGTTACGACTGGTACACGCCCTCCTAAAACGGCTCGTTCTAACACGCCCCCACGTCTACGTCACTGTGTGGGAAGATTTGCATAACGCCGCCCAAATGTTCACGCAAAGAAAGGCGGCGTAACTTTGATTCTCGCTGTAGTATTGTTGCGCGATGTACATGTACACATAGTACATGTCATGGATAGGGGTGATCCGATTGATCGGCTACCGATCACTATCGGCCGATAATCACGTTGGGATGATTGATCGGCGGTCTCTAAAAAGGCCGATTTCAAAAAAACGATCTCAAGCTGATGACACTGCTGTGAGCGGTTTGGCACGACATGCAGCGGCACCATCTCAGTCACTGCCCGGCGCTGGTGAAATAATTATAATGCTGAAGGTGAGGTACTCTCTCAAAATATGCAAATGGCTTCAAATCACCACATCGCGTCTAGTCTATAAGTGAGCTGCACGCTGCACAATTGACACAGGAATTGTCACTTGCACAATCGAGGCAGTGTCACATTGTCACTAAAGTTTATAAATTGCATTACTTTTTAATTCTTGCCAGTGTTTAACCATTCAGCGGTTGCGTGCTCTCCTGGAGATCGTGCGCTCATGCACACTCGCAGCGCACACACATAATGCCAGGTTCACATTACTCCCTTTGCAGTGCATACGTGGTAAATAAGCTTATATGACACCAATATTTTAGATACCAATTACATTTTACAATTCTCTATTTAAATTTTGATACCACAGCAAACATCACTAGCCAAAAATAAACAAATATAAAGTTTAAACATTATTAAAGACAAGTGACAGCCAGTAAATAAGAACACATTTATGTTCAAACAACATGTAAAAGTGAATTTTGCATCCGATGACCCCTTTAAAAGGTGCTGTATGTATTTTTTTGACTGTACTAAAGCATAAAAATACCATACGTTTGCAGATATTTAGGAAGCACGGTAAGATCACACAAAACAAGGCTACAATCAGTTACTCTACTTTGAAATGTGTGTTCCGTCTCGGAATGTCAGTTTTTGTTTTGGTCTGTGTGACTCCACCCACTGCCAGTTTAACCAATAATATTTCAACACCCCGGGTTGCCAGTTGGCAGAAAACAAAAAGTATTGCACCTATCAAAAGCCAGCAAACTAACTGGGTCAGATTGCAGCTTTTACCTGACCTAAAAAGCCTCGGCCTACTTTATGTCGGCTTTGTATTCTGTCTTGCTGATCTGGTCACCAAATTTCCCACAAATGGGAAGTGGGACTGGTGTTGGGCGATATGCTCAATTGTCATATCGCCTGTTGTTAGCCTGTGAGATAGCTGATTCATGATATTATTGTTCTAATTTATTCATTTACTTGGTTCAGGGCTCTACGCTTACTTTTCTTTTTAGGAGCACTTGTGCTCCTAACTTAAAAAATTTAGGAGCACGTTCAAAATTTTAGGAGCACCTTCTAAACAATTATCCAAAATGTTATCAAAAAGTAGCCTTCCCATTACGAGGTGATATTTGACTCCTCTAACTTTATTAAAAGTATGTCATCTTTTGTCAAATTCTTAAAAAAAAAATTATATTTTATAAGCTTTTTAAAAATTGTAATTAAAACGACAGAATAAGAACAAGTAGAATAAGCAATATAAGTTACCAATCAAATTAAATCAGTATTAACAAAATTAATTTGTAGAGGTGGCACAGAAGAACACAAAAGCGCAGACGATATATATCGCACACCCCTAATCATAAGGCTTACATTTCCCCAGTTATTCAAAAAGCAGCTACAGAATACGAGCAAAGAACATTTTCATTACCAAACACTGACTTCAGTCTAGCGCAAGTATATGCACTTTAAAAACACTCCTGTTATAATCAGTGAAGCGGTCTACACTTTGATGAATAAATTTCTTATACTTACACTACCAGTCAAAAGTTTTTGAACAGTAAGGTTTTTTGTTTTTTAAAGAATTCTCTTCTGCTCACCAAACCTGCATTTGTTTGATCCAATTAAATATTTTTACTATTTACTATATTTACTATTTAAAAGAACTGCTTTCCATTTGAAAATATTTCAAAAATGTAATTTATTTCTGTGATCAAAGCTGTATTTTCAGCATCATTACTCCAGTCTTCAGTGTCACATGATCCTATAGAAATCATTCTAATATGCTGATTTGCTGACTATCAATATTTAAAACAGTTGAGTACGTTTTTTTTCAGGATTCTTTGATGAATAGAAGAATACAAAGATCAGCATTTATCTGAAAAAAAAAAAAAAGCTTTCGTAACATTACACACTATTCCATTCAAAAGCTTGGAGCTTGTTTTTTTTTTTGGGGGGGGGATTATAGGAATTAATACTTTTATTTAGCAAGGATGCTTTAAATTGATCAAAAGTGATAAAGACATTTATAATTAGACTTGTGCCGGTATTCGGTAATGCGATATACCACGGTAATGAGTATGCACGATATTGTTATCGTGGGCACTTCTAAATACCGTGAATAATTATATATTAGAAATTATTCAGAATTTTGAATGCATTTTAAGAATACTTTTCCCATCAACTGGTCAAAATGCACAACACCGCAGTATGCTGCGTGAAAGACGCGTGCGCACTCTGATGTAAACAAGCGCGGACGAGAAGCACATGGCGGAACATGTGAGAGACGCTCTGGATGAAAGCGCACTTTCACTCTCTGACAGCAGATGGCGCTAAACTGCAGAAATAATAATAATAATAATAATAATAATTATTCATTTAAATGCAGCTGTTACTCCGGAAACCCTGTAAACAAAGCAGCTGCTCTACTTTCTGTTTCTGAATCGTGTTTAAATTATTTAAACAGCCATTCAGATTTGTGTATTTGCTATGATGTTCATCACAGTGCCAAATACTTAAATATTTAGACTTAATAGGCTATTTATTTTCAAACCTTTTTTACATTTTAATCTGGACTACAACATGCCCTAGATATTGTTTGAAAGTGTTTTGATTCTTTATTGTTCG